AAGATTTTTAATAGCACTAATAAATAAAGGCTGTAAATAATGTTACTGCTAAAATATAAATTTCCCAAGAATACAATTTAATCCCTGCTGGAGGAGAAGTTAAGTCATATGATGTCATCTTTTAATGTCCAACTTTTGTGTGCTGCCAGGAGAGGATTTCATAAACACAAAGTCTGTCTCTGAGCAGTTGGAGATGTTTGACCATTTAGCATTCGTGTCGCTGACACAGGAAAGGAGGTGATGTGAGGGCACAGAATGATAACCCTGTTGGCACCCAGACCCAGAGCCCTACTTTCAGTTTCAGTCATTTTTTCAGTAATGTCTGACTCTTCATGACCCCATTTGAGGTTTTCTTGGCAAAGATACCGGAGTGGTTTGCCATTTCCTTCTCCAGCTTATTTTACAGATGAGGAAACTGAGGCAGAGTTAAGTGACTTGCCCAGGGTCGCACAGCTAGTAAATGTCTGAGGCCAGATTTGAACTCATTTAGATAAGTCTTCCTGACTCCAGGCCTGACACTCTGTGCCCTGTGGCGCCACTTAGCTGCCCAGAGCCCTGCTATCTGAGCCATGCAATAGAATTTTCTCTTCTAAGTTGAGGCTTGGAGCCATGCATTGCCTGCCACCGTGGGTTTTCCCTCTGAAAACCTGTGATACTTCTTTCAATAGAAGAAAAGAGGAGATGGGAAAGTAAAAGTCAATCATTAAGCCTTGAATGCTCTTTTCTCCAACTCCCACTTCCATGCCTTCATATAGACTGTTTCCCGTGCCTGTAATGACCCACTTCTTAGCCTGCCTCTTAGAATCCCTAGCTTCCTTGCTATCTTCTAGGGAAGACCTACCTTGATCCCCTTGGGTGCAATAACTGTCTTTGAATTGTCATTAATATAATTATCTGTTTCTATTTTGTACCCCCTATCCCTCAGACCAATAGAAACTTCTTCAGGGGAGGAAATATGTTTCATTTTGTCTAGAACAGAACCTAGCATGGTTTTGGTTGTTGAGTTGTGTCTTCGTTACCCCATGGACCATCGGTTTGGTTTGGTTTGGTTTTTGGCAAATATACCGGAGTAGTTTGCCATTTCCTTCTCCAGTGGATTAAGGCAAACAGAGGTTAAGTGACTCACCCAGGGTCACACAGCTAGTAAGTGTCTGAGGTCAGATTTTAACTCAGGTCTTCCTGACTCTAGTCCCAGCGCCCTATCCACTGAGACACCTAGCATAGTAGACTTTAATAGCTGCTAGTTAAATTATTAGCTTGTTGCATTGTAGATGGGGAAGACACTGAGTCTATCTGCATCAGGCAGGCATTTGTGATGGCCAATAACTTGGGGAAAAGTTGGATATGGGCACAGAGAGATAGCATGTGTGGGAAAGTCATTTTTCTATAACTACAGAAGGGTCAAGAAGGTTCAAACTTTTCAGGCTATATTGATTTTTTCCCACTGCGTTGACAGTTTGGGGAAATGATCTGTAAGGATGAGTTAATCCATAGACCTTCTGATGACTAGAATTTATAGTCAAAAGGGTAATAACAGTATGACTTTGAAACAGATTATGGGTTAAAATGACTCTTTTGTTGGCCTAGGTTCCAATCTCAACTTTACTTCTGATTTAGTTGTGTTATCTGGGGCAACTTCAGGGCTCCAGGTAAGTCTCTAAGACTGTAAGTTACTGAGCAAGTAAAGGCTGTATTGGCAGAGGGAGTTTCCACATGGAGAGCTAAATAATAATAATAATAATAATAATAATAATAATAATAATATTTACGTAGAGTGTGCCAGACACTGTGCTAAGCACTTTGCAATTATTATCTCCTTTGATCCTCACAACAACCCAGGAGGTAGGTGCTATTATTATCCCTGTTTTACAAATGGGGAAACTGAGGCAATGGCCCTAAGTGACTTGTCCAGGATCACACAGCCAACATCTATGGACAGACTTGAACTCAATTCTTCCTGACTCCAGGACTAGTGCTCTATCCACTGCACCACTTAGCTGCTAAAAAACAAACAGAAAACAACACAAAACAAAAAGACGAATATTTTTAAATGCATAAAATAAAACCTAGAGGACTGCAAAGGAAACCATTTATATTGAAATGCATCAATGTCATGATATTCAAAAAGGAACAGGTAGGGGGCAGCTAGGCGGCGCAGTGGATAGAGCGCTGGCCCTGAAATCAGGAGGACCTGAGTTCAAATAACAGCCTTGGACCGAACACTTGACACTAGCTATATGACCCTAGGCAAGTCACTTAACCCCAACTGCCTTAAAAAAAAAAAAAGGAACAAGTAAATGGATCCCAGGCTGAGAACCCTTGTGCTGTGTACCATGTTGTACTTTAGGCAGCATCTATGAAGAATCTGGGCAGGGTTACTGTAACAGAAGTGATCCTATCCGCACCAGACCTCTCTTCCTATCATCCATTATCATTTAATTCATATTTGGGACCTTAGAGACCATCTAATCCAATCCTTCATTTTCTAGATGAGGAAGATGGGGTTTAGAAAGATTAAGTGACTTGTCCAAGGTCACACAGGTAGTAAACATCAGAAGGAAGATTGAAACCCAGGTTCTCTGACCTCAGAGCTCATTTCACTGTGTCTGCTTGCCCCTCTGGAAGGGAATCCTCTGGAAGGGAGTGATTCTGAGCACAACTGAGTTATATAAAGACAACATGTGAGTAGGAGAAAAATAGAAAACTCACATTTCAAGGGAGGGATGGTGAGGGGGAGGAGGGACAGATGGTGTATTTGAGGTGGATGGGGAGAAGGCTGGGGTGGGTTTCTGTGTAGAAGCAGTATTGTGTATACGGAGAACGGGTTATATTTTGAGTGGATGGGAAACAAGATATGTATTGTGTTGGGGAGCACTTCAATGTGTTGGGGTCGGAGAGTGGGATGTGTATTGGATGAAGTATGTGGGAAAGGGGAGTGATTATTGTGTAACTGGAGGGGGGGGCAGCTAGGTGGTGCAATAGATAGAGCACTGGCCCTTGAATCAGAAGGACCTGAGTTCAAATCCAGAGTCAGACACATACTAGCTGTGTGACCCTGGGCAAGTCACTTAACCCCGATTGCCTCCAAAAAGAAAGAAAAAAGAAACTGTATGAGGGGATGGTGAGGGAGTAATAAGACTCCAGTGGGGAAAGTTCTATTCCCCACCCCTATATCTGATCTCCTTCCACATACAAATATGTTCCCTCTTCTTACCCTCTCCCACATACTACGTCACTACCACAAACTAAGTTTTCCATTAACTGTATCTGTGAAATGAGGATAATAAGATTTTCATTACCTACATCACAGGGTTGTTTTGAGGAAAAGCCTCTGGTGAACTTTAACATTCTATAAATGTAAATTATTATTACTGTTGATAAATTAAGAGTTAGGAAGACCCAGGTTCAAGCCCTGCCTCTGACAGATATTGGTCATGTGACCCTGGGTTACTTAACTTCTCCATACTCAAGCAACTCTTTAAGACCATTGCCAGTTCTCCCTGATAAAAGTTTCTGCTCTGGAAGTTCCAATGGCAATGAAATCACAGGTCCAGTCCAAAATAATAACAACAACAATAGCAATAATGATAACCTGAGTTCAAGTTGTATTTTATATTTTCTCCAGAGTAGCTTGTAATGAGCTTCTCTGAGAGGAGGGGAAACAGGAAATGCAAGAAGAGGTCTTGGAAACAGATTTCTAGCAGTACTTACAGGCCATCAGTTTCAGTTTGATAGCCATAGCTGAACAGTTGCTTGGCTGTTGTATTGTAAAGATGATGTTTCTTTTCCAGCCCATTATGTTTTATGGAAGTAATATTAGTCACTGAACTCTCTCTCTCTCTCTCTCTGTCTCTCTCTCTCTCTCTCTCTCTCTCTCTCTCTCTCTCTCTCTCTGTCTGTCTCTCTGTCTCTCTCTGTCTCTCTCTCTCTCTGTCTCTCTCTCTGTGTCTCTCTGTGTCTCTCTCTCTCTCTCTCTCTCTCTGTCTGTCTCTCTGTCTCTCTCTGTCTCTCTCTCTCTCTCACACACACACACATACACATTCTCTTTGTCTCTCTCCCCATCCTCCTTTTCCTTCGTCCTTTTCTCGCTCCCCTCTTCCCTCTCTTTCCTCTTCCTCTCTGCCCTCTCCTATCTTTCTCTGTCTTTCTGTCTCTCTGTCTCTGTGTCTCTGTCTCTCATTTTTCACTCACTCTTCACCACCCCACTCCAGTCCCTCCCCATTGGAAGCACTTGCTTCTTGTGCTCTTGTGACCAATTTCTGGATGTAGTAGAATGAGAGCTAACTTAAAATCAAAGGACCTAGTTCCAATCTCTGCTCTTCTACTTACTGCCCAGGTGACCTTGGACAAACCACCCTACCTTTCTGGATTTCACTTTCAGAATCACAAATTCTGAGAGTTAGAAGGGACCTCTTTCCTTCCTTCTTTCCTTCCTTCCTTCTTTCCTTCTTTCCTTCCTTCCTTCCTTCCTTCCTTCCTTCCTTCCTTCCTTCCTTTCTTATTTCCTTCCTTCTTTCCTTCCTTTCTTCTTTCCTTCCTTCTTTCCCTCCTTCCTAGAGATACTGCTCTATATATGTTTTGCCCTGGACAGAAGACAGAGGGATTATCAACTACTTGTTCCTAGAATAATGGTATCATTCTCTATGCCTTTCTTCATGAAGTCCAAGTTCACATTAGCTTTTTAGTTTTTACATTACAATGTTGACCCAAATTGAGCTTATTTGACCAAGACCTCCAGAGCCTTTTCAGACAAATTGCTATCTAACCATGACTCCTAGCTTACTTATACTTTGATTCTCGCAACATAGTTCTCATATTTGTAAATTTGATTTTTTTTTCTTCATGTTAAAGAAGGATCTTGGCTAGATGATACTAAGATCCCATCCAGCTCTAAAAGACAATTTTATTGGCCAAATTACTGAAAGTTCCAGAAGAAAAAAAGATGGGGAAAATTCAGGAGGGAATAAGGGAGCAAGGTGATGGCAAAGGGTAACCCTTACCTTGAGTGAAGGGGAAGAAAGAATTCTTTGTGTCTTGAGGAGCAGATAATCTCATTCTTCAGGAGCTCATAGTCTAACGAGGAAGACAACATGAAAAGAACTATGTACAAACAAGGTATATACAAGATAAGTTGGAGATAACCAACAGAAGGAAGGCACTAGAATTAAGAGAGATCAGGAAAGGCCTCCTATAGAAGGTAAGATTTTAGCTGAAACTTGAAGGAAGCCAGGAGGCAGAGATGAGGAAGAAGGGCATTCCAAATACCAGGGATAGTGAGTGGAAGAGCTTTCTGATCCTTGGTCTCTAAGCAGATCTATAGACAAACAGTAATCTAGATCACAGAATGTTAGAGCTAGGAGGGATCTCAGAAAGCATCTAATCACCACCTAACTACCCCCCCTTCATCTTATAGATAAGGAAACTGAGCCCCAAAGAGTGAAAGTGACTTGCCCTAGGCCAAATAGCTAGTTAATAGCCAACCCAATACTAAAACTTAAATTAACACAGTCCACAGCTTTTTCTACAACACCAATACTTGAATTTGCATATGGCAGGTGGGGGAGGAAAATCCTTAGCAATTAACAGGAGACTCAAACAAATCAATGGAAAATAAACAAGAAAGGCATTTTCTCTGTGTTTCTTTCCATGTTCTCCAGAGAGGATTCTATCTTTCTCTTTATTTTGCTGCTGTTTTTTTTTAATGTATTCTTCAATGTTGTCATTCAATAAATCAACAAAAAAAGGGTGTGTGTGGATTAGATGGCCCGGAGGTCTTTTCTGGCTCGAAATCTATTATCTGATATCGATCCTATGAACAAACTTGTGACTATCACTCCAACATAATATAGTCCTGTTGTATTTGGCTTATAGTTATGTTCTTAGCAATTTTAGACATCAGACCTTTATCTATTTACTGCCAATATTTTCCCCCAGTGTTTCTTTTCTTTTAATTTTAAAGCTATTGGTTTTTTTGTTTGTTTTCATTCAGAATCCTTCCATCTATATGTAATCAAATCCATCAGTTTTGTCTGTAGTAATTTCTTCCATTTTTTTTTGATTGATAAAAATCTTCTACTTCACAATTGGGACAAATATATTATTCCTTTTTATTCTTCCAGTTTTTTATTGAAAAATTTGATCTGTTTACAATTGTTAGCTTTATCTTTCCTTCAATCATCCTGTAAGGAAAAGAATGCACACTTTCTTCTTGTTATTTCTATTACTCCAAATGTAACCAAATCACTCTAGACAAAGTTCCTCTATTTTTTATCAATAACTGAAGCTTTCTTTCTTCATTACTCAAGGTAAGGGTTTCCCTTTGCATCACCTTACTCCTTTTCTCCCCACCCTGAATTTCTTCACACTTTCCTCCCCCTAGTTTATCTGAAACCTTCTACTGAAACTTTCAGTAATGTGGCCAATAAAATACTCTGAGAGGCTTCATATTGTCTGAAACTGGTTCATCTAGATTTGAGAAGTCTGGACTGTCTGGGAGACTTGACTGTTGTTAGAAGACTTCCTTGAAGTAGATACGTCTCTTTTGCAAACTTTTCAAAGTTTGATTGCTTTTCACATCATAAAATTTAGAGCTGGAAGAGACCGTGGAGATCATCTTTCTAGGCGAACCTTGACTTAAAGATGAGAAATCTGAGACCCAGAGTGGCAAACAACTTTCCTGAGGCCACACAGGGAGCCAAGAGTCTCCAGGTAGAATTCTAAATCCCGTGTCCTTTCCACATGCACTATGATACCCTACTGCAGAAAACTCTTATTTCCATAGAGTATATTGAGTTTTATTGAGTCAGTCATTCTGGGCTCATGGACCAGACTTAACTTTTTAATTTTGTACATGTTGGATTCTAACTTCTCCATTTGCTTTCTTATGATCTTTGAAAAGTCTTCTGTCACACAAAAAAAGAAAAAAATAGAAAACTCTTCTGTGATCCTAGTAAATGTTCCTTGTTTTACAATTTCTGTCTTCCGGCAGTTTGTACTGTAGCGTTTTTCTTTTATTGTTAAAAGAGAAATATTTAACCATAACATTCCAGGAAGTATTGAATATTAATTTAGTCCTTAGGAACTTGTGAATTTTTGAAATGTATCTATCACAGCTTTTTTTTTTTTGCAGTCTCTAGGAAGTTTTCTTTGGAAATCTCAAATTCTTTTATTTTTCCAAATTTCCTGGGATGTCAATAATCCTGAAATTTTTGTTTTGCGATATATCCTTAAGGCACCTTGGTCTTTTCCATTCTCAAGGTCTGTCACTTGATTATGCCTGGTTTTTTTTCAATACTTTGCATAATTCAGTGATTTTCTGTGCATACACACACACACACACACACACACACATACACACACACACACATATATATTATATATCTCCTCCAACTGATCTGCATTAGTTATGATTCTGGGTTGTTCTGGTTGATATAATAAACCCATTTATTGATTCATTATGTTAATTCGTCCATGTATCCTCTAAATTAGTCATTTTCTTCATTTTTCCTCCAAATTAAATATTTTTTCCTTCTAGCTTGAATTCTCACCATTTTTTTCTTTCTTTGCTTACTTCATATTCTATTTGGCTTTCTGATGCTTTCTTTTTTTGTCTTATTATACCCAAAACTAACCCAGTGCCTTGTACATAGTAAACACTTACTAAATGCTCATTGAATTCAATTGATTTCAATTCTTGCTTAATTTCATTTAGCCACTTGAGACTATTTCTCAAGACATTTCACCTGGTTGCTTTTTTCCTTCTATGTAGCTTACGGGACTTATTTTATATGTACTTATAAGTCTTTTCTTCTTCCTCCTCCCCCATTAGAAAGTAACCTCTTTGCAAGAATTGTTTCATTTATTGTATTTATATTCTCAGCAGGCAAACTTTGACTTGAAGATGAGAAATCTGAGACCCAGAGTGGCAAACAACTTTCCTGAGGCCACACGGGGAGCCAAGAGTCTCCAGGTAGAATTCTAAATCCTGACACATAGTAAGTGCTTAATAAATACTTGCATTGACTGATCTAGCTGATTCAGTTGATCTACAATAGATTTTAAATTCTTTCATCACCCTTCTTCATTTTACTTATTTGCTATTTTGGTTAGGCTTTTACTTTCATATTTTTTAGACCAATCTCTCTTCTTTCATGTACCTTTTGCTGGGCATTTTTTTTTGGGGGGGGAGCATGTGAGGAGTATAGTTTCCTTTGAAGCTTTTACTGAACTGTTTAAAAAAATTTTTTTGCTATTTTAAATTTAAACACCAAAAAAAGAGCATTTCCACACACACAGCAAAACACAAAAAGGGGATCTATATGAAACTGTGAATCTCTATTTCATATTGTTTGCTTTTTTAAAAAAAAGTATACATGTTACTTTCAAAACTGTCCTGTTTGGGCTTCCTTTTTGCACTTCTCTTTTGTGCATTTTAAAAAAATGTTTCAGTGGCTCACTTTTTTGGCCTTACTATTGCTAACCATTCCCTTACTTATTTCCCTCCCCCAATTAGTCAAGAGAAAGAAAGGGTAAAAACAAACAAAAACCCCTGTAAACAAATAAGTAATGTCAAGCAAACCGAGGATGCAAAGTAGCCATATCTGAAAATGGATTTTTCTGCACCCTATATCCATCACGGTACCTGTGAGGAGCTAGGTACTATGTTTGGAAAATATGGCAAATTATTGCTTCGATCAGAGTTTTTATGTCTTGCAAAGTTGTTTTTACACCCAGGATTCACCAAAATCATCTCTTTTGTCATTTCTTATGAATGATATTTCATTACATACATAATCCACAATTTATTCAGTCATTCTCCACTGGCTAAGACACAATCTTAGGCACCCCCTTAAAGTGCGGTCCTTTTCTTTTTCTCCATCTTTTTGTTCCCCTTTCAAATCAAGAAGTCGGTTTTGCTCTTGACTATTCCCTCCCTATTATCCTCCCTCCTAAATGCCATCCCTTGTCTCTCACCAGTTTTTTCCCCGTTGTGTTTGTTGTATTGCTATACCAAACCGTGCATGTGTTCAACTTTCCTTTTATTTAGGTGTGAGATACATTTGATGCCCACTCCCCCAATGTGTTCCTCATGTTTGTATATCCTCACACACCCCACTGATGAAAAACATCAAGTTCTACCCCCTTCTTCTTTTCTTCTATGCTAGCATACTCCTTCTTTTACCCTCCCTTCTCTTTCTCCTCTTCCAGTTCCCAGAATAGAACCAATCCACACCCCATAACTCCAAGATGTCTGTTTTGCCTTATTTAATTCCATCATTACCCTTTGAAGACATCAGGATTTTGAATGGACAGTTGTTTTTTCTCCTCCTATTAGAAAGTCAGCACTACATTATATAATTCCTTCTAATAGCTCAAATAAATTTATCTTTCAAGGTTCTCTGCACTCTTGCTTGTATTTCAAAGTTCCTACTCAACTCTGGTCTTTTTTTCAGAAGTGACTGAAAGTCCTTTCTTCCATTAAATATCCTTTTTTTTTTTCACCCTGTAGAAGCATATTCAGCTTTTCAGAATAAGGGATTTTTCATTGTAAACATACATGTCTTTTGTCTTTTGGAATATTGTATTCCACTATTTCTTGCTTTTAGTAGAAACAACAAAGTCTTCTGTGATCTTGACTGTAGTTTCATGGTCCTTGAACTTTTCCTGAATGCTTTCCATATTTCTTTGACTCATGAGCTCTAAATTTTGGCTACGACATTCCTGGGACTTTTCTTTTTGAGGATCTTTTTTTTTGAAATTTCTTTGCCCTCTGGTGAAGTAATAGACTGGGCAGTTTTCATTTGTGATTTCTTAAAATACAGGGCCCAGGCTTATTAAAAAATCATGGTTTTCAGGAAGTCCAATGATTCTTCAATTCTCTATCCTTGACCTGTTTTCCAGATTAGTTGTTTTTGATATCAGGTATCTTCTGTTTTTTCAATCCTTCAGAGATTTTATTTCAATTTTTATTACAATATCATTAGCTACAACTGAAATGACTGAACAACAATATGTATTAAGGACCTCCTATGTGCCAGTCACCAGCTATTTTCTAGGGACAGAAATTAAAAAAA